CCAGGGGCTCTAAGAATGGAGGATAAAGAAGATTGCATTCATTTTTTAAGGGGTGCAGGTGGGCAGAGATTAGGTGGTCAAGCACTCCCTTGATCTCTTCTATTTCCTAGAAGAGAATTGCCATTTTGGAGGCTCCACTTGAGGCCACCAGGAAGCAAGTGAGCTAAGCATATTGAAGTTCATTTTCTCCCCCCACCCCAGTGAAATCAGAATGGTACCCACAGGCTGTCTTTGTCCCAACATACTGTGAAGACCAAGAGACCAGCTGTCACATGCTTTGCAGTCTGAGGGCCCGCTTCCCCTGGCAGCTTCTATTTGAAGCTGCAGCTTCCCCGGCCTTGCAACCCGGGCTGGCTGGCTTCAGCCTGTGCCTCAGAACCCTGTTCTCTGCTCCCTGCCCTTCATCCTCTTTGTCACCTCACCCATACTGCTCATTAAACTGTATCCCAGTTCTGAGGCAAGGCACATTCCCTGGTGAAGCCAGTGGGTAAGCTTCTTACCACGGGGAGCATGGGATTGTAGCCTCATGGTATCAACAGACAGGAAAACAGCCATGTATTTGGTGGCTTAAATGTTCAAAGCAAAGACAGGCTTTTCTCCAGTCAGGTTTGAGCTTTCCTACCCAACTACTACAATAGTAATGGAGTCACGAAGGCTCATTTAGGAAGCAGCTTTGAGTTCCACCTACACACCAGGTAAGTACTTTCTTCATACAAACGGAAATAGCAACACCGCCTGTCTGAGGGGGAAGAACTGTGGGTCAGATGAGATAACGGCACAGTTCATTTTCCATGCTTGACACCAACTAACTCCTCCGCCTGCCCTCACTCCCTCACACACTCATTGTGAGCAGGCGCCTCGGCCTCCTCACTTGACAGACAAGGGAAAGAAAGTAAAGTGGGACTCGAAGACATGCACAGGATCACTCAGGTGCCGAGTGTCAGAGCTGGGCCTGTTCCAGGATGAAGTGTGCATATTGGAGTGTGTGATGGATAGTGTACATTGGGCAAGTTGTAGCTATTTATAAAATCAACCAAAGCACTCACGATGGACTGTTCTCTGCATACTGGGCATTCCGCAAATGCCAAAAGCATTATGTGATTTGCTGGGAAGATGAGTAATGGCCCATCAAAGGTTTTCAGGCTTTACTCCATTCTCTCCCAGTAACTGGATTGTCATTTTCTTGTAAGGGCCCCAGGGCTAAACCAAGAGTGTAAATTCTTACCTTGGCTTTGATCATTTTTCTCCCCTAGAGCCTGCTTCTTTGAAAACACAATCGTATTTATCTATAATGAAATTGCTTTATGATTCCTTTGCCCTCCACTGTCCCTTTGCTTCAGAGGGGCTTTGCTCTAATGCCTGTGTTGAGGTTGTAACTGACTGCCTGGGAAGGGGAGGAGGGCGGGGGTACCAAGAAGAGGGAATGAGAAGATGCATTCTTGTCAAGAGGCCTACTGCCAGAGCCTTGTCAGAGAAAGGGGGGGCGGGTGACACATGCCTGCCCTTGTGGATGCTGTCCTGGGTACTGGACGACAGGCTTCATTCAAATTCAAGAGCTGATCATTTTAAAAAGCTTGGACATGTGGGATACTGGCAGTGGTGGGATCTTGTGTTCCCTCCCCCCAAGCATTCCTGTAACCACCATTTTTTTATTTACTAAAAGGAGCCTGCCTCTCTTCAAATGTTACTTTGCCCCAGGGAAACTGAAACTGAATGAACCAGATTCTGGCAAGACCTGGAAAAGTTCTTACAGTGAGGGACTAACCCTCAAAACTGAGTCCCCCCCCCAATCTGAATCTCCTATGCTGTTTCCTTATGTCATATATTTAAAACAAATCATGGGTTCAGGGACCTCAGTTCCTACTGGGCTCCCCCAGGCCATTTTCTGGCAGAGTGATGTGTGAGAGATGGTTGTGCAGGAACAGAATTGATCACCAAAGTGACAGCTAGAGCCACTGAGACACCCAAGTCTGTTTCCAAGAAGAAAAAAAAAATAATGCCTAGAACTTCTGAGTCACAAATCAATGTCTTTTAAATGTTGGAACATGCTTCTCTTTGTTCCATGGGGATAAAGATATTTCCTTCATAAACTTCATGTTGGAGTTTACTAATAAAGGCCAAACTTAGCTGACATAGGAAGAAATAACCTCTAGCTGATTCTGAGCTCGTTTGTTATTTTCATTGAAATGGGGTAAAATAGGTTTGGGGTAAAATTAAATTTTTACAGTAATAGAAGAGGATGATGAAACAATGAAATAAGACAGTGAGTTGGTGATCAAGAATGTTTTCGGAGTAAAAATTATCTATTGATATGGCCGTCTCTGGGCTTCAGGCATCAGAGCCCAGGATTCAAAGGAATTGCTGAGTTTGCTGTCCATGAAGACAGCCAGGGCTGGCTAGAGCCATGACCCCAAGCATCCCCTGCTCACCTTGGACTTCTCTTGATGCAATTCTATCTGAATGTCTGTGAGTTTGGTCCTGAGGTCTTCGTTGGCAGCTTGAAGGGCGACAATGAGTGCCTCGGGCTTCTCGCCCTTGTTTCGCCCTTTCTTGGACATTGTTCCTTTCTAAACGGAGTCTTTTGGGTTTTAATCCTCTCAGACAGGTACTGCCATGTTATTGTTTCATTTCGAAGACTGAGATGTTGCAGAAACTACTGCGTGGTGTTCCTTGCTAAGGTCTTCTCGGCTGCTGCCCCAGAAGCCCTATGGAGAGATAGAGACAACAGTGATTGCTTGGTGAAGAAATGAGTTTGCACCAGTCCATCCAATCCCAGCCAGAGTGGCCTCTAAATGCTATTTCCTGAGGCATTTCTGTGTTCAGAACCTCCTCTATACTATAGTTTGTAGGTAACTCACAATGACATTTCCAACTACACTAACATCTACCTACAATCATTTACCTGAAGTGTATGCCTTTCACATTGCCTAGTGCCCTTTTGGGAACACCAACCCATTCTTCTGTCTTTTCTCTGTGTCACTCATTGGTAAAAGTCCTTAAAGGAAGGCACAGATATGGAGATGTCTTAGCACTCATACCTCAAAAATAAGAAAATAGTATATATGTAGCTGGATAGTATTCACTGGTTAAGATTTGAACTGTGGGGAATAACTAAGTGGAATTCCTGGATTGAGTCACTCACGTAGTTAATATTGTTACAGTGATTTTTAAATGCTTTGCTAGTACATTATGTTACATTTTTTAAGTCATAGTTCTATGACAGAAAAACAAGTCAATGCCCCATTTACCTACTATCTATCACCTATCTCCCTAATTTCTGCCTATATCTATCTGTCTCTATCTGTCTACCTACCCATCCATCCATCCATCCATCCATCCATCCATGTATCATCTATCTATCTGATCTATACCTACCTATATTCATCATCAGAACTGATACCTAAATGACCTCTCTGGTAGGTGTTTTGATTGCTTTATTTTTTTTTCTTTGACACAAGGTCTCACTATATATCCCTGGCTGGCCTGAAAGTTGCTTTGTAGACCAAGCTGGCTGCAAATTCACAGAGATCAACCTGCCTCTGCCTCCCAAATATTACTGCTAGTATTAGAGGTGTGTGGCATTGTACCTGACTTTAATACGTGTTTTTATAAAATAAACATAAAGTATTTTACAAGTACAGACAAGGACCTTTCTATCTACCTTGCCTACACATAAGGAAGTGTGCCAGAAGATAGCATCCTTAGCCTCGTAATGAGGAACAGGTGGGTGCTAATATCCTAGGTAAAACATTCTAGGTCAAGAAAATGGCAGGTGTTGTGACAAAACAGAGAAAAGTCACAGAGACTATTTTGGGGAGGAAGAAGATCTGATTAAGTGTGGTCCTAATCTGGCTACACTGGAAATGGTAGTTGGTAGGAGACTCAGAATAATTCCAATCTCAGAGTATAGGACTCATCATCCAATAAGCAGTGGGGGAGAGCTGATATCCCTGACTGCTGAGTATCTAGGTTTAGATGAAGTCGTTCTGGTGACAGACTGGGGAGAGAATGGAGATGTGGACACTGGAGAGGAGGTTGCTCAATTTGTTCAGGTAACGAAGACCTAACGAGAATCCTGACAAGAGGAGAGTGGAGGTGCATCTTAACTATGGGTCATTAAATGCTGCATTAGAACAAAGGCAGAGTAGAGAGAACTATGAACATCCAACTGTTACCATCAATGAGGAGGACAGGAGACTAGGCCTTCAGGGTATGCTTCCAGGGATTGGGTGGTGGTGCACTGAGATCTCAGTGAGAACTAAGAGACTTCTCCTGATCATCCATGTGGTCCAGCAGCTGCTGCTCTCCAAAGACCCTGGTATTTGGCTTCAAGGATTGGGATCCTGATCTGGGTGCCATCATTTACAAACACTGTAGCTGTGTCCCTTGGAGTGTCCCCAGTGACCACGTGCATGCAGAGAAGATGAGATTGTGGCAAGAGAGAGCAAACCTCTATACAAATCATGGAATGATATAGCACATTCCACCATGGCATTGTTGTGAGAGCTAAAAAGCTGTGCTACACAGGTTATAGGTCCCAGAAGACAATCAACTACAATTTCTCTGTTAAATGGCCATGATATTAAACTGAGTCCAAGTTCCTTGCTGTTATACAAGGAGACTAGGATATCTCTCAGATCTCATTAGGGAAGGCTATTTGGCAGAAGATGGTGATTGACACAGAGACTCACAACTAGTCCAGGAGTTCATAATAAGAGAGTGTGGAGTGCTCAGCCCTAAGTGAGATATCTGTACCACACCAACAAAATAGTGTACTCAGGACACAACAGGGTAATATTGTGCTTAATGTCAATTTGACACAAGTTAAAGTCATTTGAGAGGAGGGAACCACAATTGAGAAAATGACTCCATAAGATTGTGCTTTACAGCAAGCTTGTAGGGCATTTTCATAATTAATGATTAATGGTTGAGGGCCAAGCCCATTGTGTATGGGTCCACCCCTGGGCTGGTGGTGCTGGATTCTATAAGAAAGCAAGCTGAGTAAGCCATGAAGAACAAGCCAGTAAGCAGCACCCCTCCATAGACTCTGCATGAGCTGCTGACTCCAAGATCTTGCACCTGTTTGAGTTCTTGTTCTGACTTCCTGCAAACTAAATGAACTCTTTTCTTCCCAAGTTTGCTTTGGTCACAGTATTTCATCACAGCAATGACAACCCTAATTAGGACACATATATGAACTCACAGAGGTTGTGACAGCATGCAAAGACCTGCACAAGTTCATGCCAGACAAAATCCCAGCCAGAGGGCAGGGCACAAAGTCCCATTGCTAGCTGCAGAGCTTGAGTAATTGATATCTGCTAGGAAAAGGAAATTTAGGGTTTTTAAAAGGCATAGCCCCTGGTAGGTGAGCAACTTTTCTGTGGATGGCCATGACAATATGGATATACAGGCAGTACAAATTGGCTTTAATAGTTTTATTTTTTTGAAGAAGAAGACACAAGATTGAGTAGAGATGGAGGTAGGGATAAATCTGAAAGGAGTTGGAGGTGTACAGCCAAAATACATTTAATTAAATTCTCAAGCATTAATAAAATATTATTTGAACAATGTATAGTCGATATTTACTGCGGCTGGCTTTTAAATGTTGATAAGAAGCATTTATGTCACTCCTATCTAGTGGTAGCTTCTAGTTTTTATGATGGGACTTGTATCTGCAGAGACAAAACTCATTCTAGGAAGCAATGAACAGATGAATGATCAAAGCACAGGACCAGATTAAGAAGGCATGAATGCTTTCTAAAACAGCTGGTATGGGAACAAAGCCTGCATTGTACTGCCTCTCCCTAAGTGCCTGGCACTGTATCACACACAAGTTCACTGAGCTACTCTAATCAAACCCTTTTTGGCATTTACTCATTATGTTTTACACTGACCATTAAAAAGGTTAGTTAACCTGGAAGATGTTGGTCAGCTAGGAAATGGCAGAGCTTACACTCAAATGCATATCTATCAGTCTCTGAACCTTTTAGGATACAGTAATACTTTCTTAAAGATAGCAGGATTCTAGCTGCCAGCAGGATACAGACAGAGAGGGCACAGAATACAGTTACATCTTGTCCTTAATGAAATGGAATGATAGGAGGTAGTCAAGACCCTGGAATTTAAAATCAGAAAAACTGGCTGGGCATTGGTGGCACATGCCTTTAATCCCAGCACTCGGGAGGCAGGGGCAGGCTGATCTCTGTGAGTTCGAGACCAACCTGGTCTACAAGAGCTAGTTCCAGGACAGCCTCCAAAGCCACAGAGAAACCCTGTCTCCAAAAACCAAAAAAAAAAAAAAAATCAGAAAAACTGACTATTACACCTCCTTATTGTATATTCTTGAGCAATTAAATTTTCTAAGCTTCTAAACCCTTTCTGACTATAGTGTGCTTACCAAACTGGACTCTTTCAAAGAATAAATGCATTGAAGTGTGTGATGAAAACATTAGCAAATATTGCTCTTATTGTCATATTTATGGTTCTTTAAGGACATAACACTCTGCTAAACACCAGCTAAAACATAAAGGACAAAACCAGAGAATTTATCACTCCTTTGTTTTAAAAAGAAGGGTCAGGGAAGGTGGAGAGACCCTGGAAGAGAGCAAAGAAATTCATGCTTATGCTTGCAGGGAAGTGAGGCTCTCATTGACAGGATAAGTATTCCCAGGGGTCTTTGGCTTTGTGGCTGCTTCTGCCTCGAGCTAGAAGCTGAATAAAGTCGTAATTAACCTCAAGCTTTCCACTAAGGCTGCTGCCACTGAGTTATGATTTGAAAGCAATGTGATATGAAATAGCTAGAGTTCACATGTGTGCAGTCAAATGCTCTAGCAGTTCTGCATAATTGATATTGGAAAATGTCCATCCTGAGGATGCTGTGAGAGCTTGTCTAAGCCTCTCTTCTTCCCAGAGTTGATGCTTTTGAGTGAGATGGTGTCAGTGTTTAAAATGTCCAAATCACACCTGAGCACATTATCCATGCCAGCCAGTAGAGGCATGCTCCAGCCCCTTAACCCCTCCCAAAATTCAGATGTGTTGCACTGTGTGTTCATGAGTTAGGCGCAAAAATGTAATACAAAGGGCTGCCACTTTAATCATTTTAACTCCAGAGACCTAGTTTCCCTGTATGTAGGGATAGTTGTTGTGTGTTTGGAGGGGGAGGGTAGCTCTCCAATCCATTACACCTATGTTAGGTGTTGATACTTAGTATAGTAGTCATTATGCATCTTCAGGATGGCAAGCTGTTAGGCTTGTATGTTTATGTTTTGTTACCTTCTATTCTCTCACCAAATTGGCTCCTTTTTCACATACAGTAGCAAATATTAAGAATTAACATTCAATGCCATCAGTACAAAGAGTATTATATTAATGCAGCACACACTTGCCAAAATTTCATTTTAGAATCACATGTATAAACTGTAGGGATGTAAAGAGCTCTTACCACACATGTAAGAAACATCTATTCTCTCTAAGGGGGATTTCCAGGGACGCCCAATGGAAGCAGTGTCTGGTGGAAGGTGAAGGCCCAGGCAGGTGACAATTATCTACTGCAAACTTT